AGGGCACAGCCCCCAGACCCGACGCACTGCAGAGCCACCCCCATCCAGGCCTGGAAGGAGAAAGAGAGGTCATCTGGTGTCCATCCCCTAGCCTGGACCTATCCCCACCCGGCCAGGGGAGCTGGGGGCTCCGCTAAGCCCAGGCGCTCTACCACAAGCCTCAGACACACCGAGACACGACTGCAGACTTTCAGACACCACCGGGTCACACAGCCGCTGCCAGGGCCTGACCGGGCCAGGAGCTCACACACACACACACGCGACCGCACACATGCAACAGCACAAGGTCAGGCAGAGATGCTAAGGGCCGGTGCACGCCCCCGCGGACCCCGCGCACAAAGCCAAGCCAACATGCACGCGCCGCCGGCCCCAGCCGACCCAGGCGGCCCCGCGCACGCTCACGCCAGCCACACAAACACAAGGACCGGCGGGTCAGCCGGCTGCTGGGGTCCGGAAGACCCGGCCCTGGGGCACAGGAGTCCCGGAGCCCCCGCCCCCTGCGCACACCCAATGTCATTGGCCCCACAATGTCACACACATGCAGCGCCCGGCCGGCCCCAGCACCTACCCCCATCTTGGCGGCTCGGCGGGGAGAGGGGCGGGCGAGCGGGCGGGCGCCTCAGGGCGGGCTCGGGCTGGGGCCTCTGCAGCGCCCGCGCCTCGGTCGGGGCGTGAGTCCGTCCGTCCGTCGGTCCCGCGGCACAGAGGCTGCGGCGGCCCGCGCCTCCGCCTCCTCATATGCCCGCGCGCGCGGGGGGGGGGCGGCGCCGGCCAATCAGGGGCGCCGCCGCGCTGACGGACGGCCCGCGGCCCCGCCCCCAGTACTGCAGCTGTCCTCCCCCTGGTCTCCGCAAAGTGGCGGCGCGGCTGAGAAGGGGGAGCTCTGCGGGCAGGGGGTGCGGGGTGATTCCCGGAGACCCCCCCACAATGGGAGCCCTGGAGACCCCCTAAGTGTGGGTGGAGCCTCCAAGGAGGGGGTGCTGAGGGAAAGAGCTCCAGAAATCCCCTCACCGGGGAGAGGGGTGCTCTGAGGGCGGGTGACACTGGGGTGGGGGGAAGCCCCGTGAACCGCCGCAGTAAGGCGAGGGCCGCAGAGGAGCACCCTGCTTTGCAGTGTGGCAGGAGGGTCCCCGGAGACTGCGGGGTGCTTTCCAGGGGGAGGGCCCTACAGGAGAGGAAGTTGGAGAAAGACACAAGAGAGTAAGGAAGACCCCCGAATTGAGGAGGGGTGCTGGGGGGAGGAGCCCTGACAACCCCTCACTGTGTGTCCCCCCATGGTTGAGCTGTCCAATGAGACACAACATAGCCTAGGACTGATCTGGGAGGGCCAGAAAATGCCCAGCTACAGGCGACCATCACCCAGATAGCCCTGACACTAGGGACAGACACACCACCGCGGGGTCACACTCACATTCCATCACACACCAGTTTGTACCCAGAGACTCACAAACAGGAATGAAATGCACATAGAGCACACACCTCGCACACCCATCGCACCACAACAGACTCACAGTCGCAGTCATAAAGTGCCATGTAGACTAACACACACCCTCAGAACACGACATCGCAGACTCACACCTCACACTCTGCCACAGCCGACCTCACTCCATCTCACCTAGAGACTCACACTGTGCAACCCATGCACCAACACACACCTGCTCTCAGCACTGTCACAAGCGCAAAGGCCCACGCCACCTGAGTCTTTGTGGACACTGTTGCATGATCACACAATCCACACACACCCTCACGCACACAGCTCCCCAGTGTGTCTGGGCATGAGCAAAGGCCCACAGTGTAAATTCCTTGCTAACCGTGAATGACAGACAAAAAGGTGTGCACACTCATACACAGCACAATTCACAGACACGGGTCACGTGACACGATCCCACACGCCTCCCACACACACACGCATCACGTACTGCATCTCTGTCACAGACACTTTTGTGGCAACTCCAAGCACACCCTCACGCTCACACCACACACCCCCATTGCAGTATGTGTACGCACACACGCAGCTGCACGGCCAGCACCCACACCCCAGGCCTGCCACCTACACACCACTCCCATCAGCCACTCCACTGGGGCCCTCGGGGCCAGGGCCTCCCGCGCCCGCCCCAGCCCCACTTTGCTCCATGAGGAACACCCCAGACTCTCCCTGGCGATTGCAGGAGGAGAGAGACAGGGAGACAGAGAGCACCTGACCTTGCAGCTTTCTCAGAATGTGGGCTCCTCCCCATATATGGGAGTGGAGATGTGGGGGACACAGGTAAGGAGAGGGAGGGAGCTTGGCGCATGGGGGTGGGGCTGAAGGTTAAGGACCTGGTCAGGGACAAGTGTGAAAGGCTGAAGGCCAGAGTAAGAGACACAGAGACAGAGACAGAGATTCAGAGCCACAGAGAGGTGGGCATGGACAATGCCCCCCACACAGTAGGAGGTGCAAGGGCTTCTCCCAGAACCAGGAGCCTCATCCCAATCCTGTACTCTGACCCATCCTCATCCCTCCCTCGGTCCAGTGTTGCCACGGTAACAAGGAGGCTGACTCTGCAGCAGAAGAGGCTGGGCCTGCAGACTAGGCCGTTGCCACGGAGACTGGGAAAGGGGGAGGAGCCACATCTTTTAACCCAGGTGCATCGCCCCCAGATGCCCCCTTCCCAGTTCCACCCCCTTCCTGGGGGAGGGAGAGCTTGTCAACACATCATCCCTTCCCTCTCCTGACACCTTGGCCTGAAGGTATGGGCCTGGGCCACGGAGGATAGGATTGGGAGACAGAGAAGCCTGGGGAGGTGGGGGAAGTCTGGTTTCCAGGAGCTTCTGGGCTGTCTCTCCTGCTCTCCAGCTGGGCTGGGGGAGGCCTCAGGCCGTACACATCCCACCTCAGACACAGGCTCATGTCCCCCCTCATGCACTCCTTCCTCCCACACAAGCCAGGCGAGACTGATGACTGTGCATTATGCTCCCAGCGAGGCTCTGCAGAGGTGGGGGTGAGGAGGAAAGACTCAGGAAGGTCATAGGGATGGAGGGGGACAGGGGAGCTCATCATGAGAGATGGGGGAAGAGGAATAACAGAAACAGACACACAGTCCAAAACCAGAGACAGGCAGATACAGAGAGACAGACTGAAAAAGACAGAGATATTGGCAAAGACAGAGACAAGAAAACAGATCGAGGGAGACAGAGCAACAGAAGTACTTGTGAAGGTGACAGAGAGACACAAGGACTCAGACAGCCAGGCAGAGACAGGTTTGGCAAACTAGGGAGATGCAGAGAGAAAGATTGAGGAGAGAGGCCGGGTGCAGTGGCTCATGCCTGTAATCCTAACACTCTGGGAGGCTGAGGCGGGAGAATCACTTGAAGTTAGGAGTTCAAGACCAGCCTGAGCAAGAGTGAGACCCTGTTTCTACAAAAATAGAAAAATTAGCCCAGCATGGTGGTACACACCTATATAGTCCCAGCTACTCAGGAGGCTGAGGCAGGAGGATTACTTGAGCCCAGGCGTTGGAGGTTGCAGTGAGCTGTGATGACACCACTGCACTCTAGCAGGGGCCACAGAGTGAGATTCTGTCTCAAAAAAAAATAATAATAATAATACTGGGGAGAGACTGAGCAGAAACTTGGTGGGGAGGGGGGTTGTGCAATGGGGGAGAGATCCCAGAGGAGACTAGCCTCTGTGTTGGGACAGAGAAAGTGAGAGACCAGAAACATCTGCAGTCATAGTTTAGTCACCTCCACAGGCAGAATCAGAAGCCGGCCCAAGGGCAGAGACATTGACAGAGACTGTGAAAGAGATGTGGAGATGACAGAGGCGCTGAGACCGGTGAGAGGCTGGTGCTGGCCCTCACACCTGCCCCTGGAGGGCACACGGGCAGCAAGTGTCCAAGACACGAAGGGGCCGGGTAGAGACCAGGGGGCGCTGTGCGAAACGCCCGGCATGCGGGGTACTGCGCGTAGGAGGGTGTCGGGGGTGTGGCCCGCCTGCCGAGGACAGCCATAGGCAGCTGGGCCCTGGAGGGGAGGCCCGGCCGCCGCGCCGGCTGGTGCTGAACGGACAGCTCCCGCGCGCCGCGGCCAGGGGCGGGCGGCCTCGCCCTGTTGTCTCGGGTCTCCTCTGGCTTTGCTCACCACTCTCGGCCTTTCCAGGCGCCGTTTGTGGCTAGAAGTTGTTTATGGCTTCCTGTCTCTCACCCCAGCTCCCCATGTCTCTTTCCCTCCCTGCTTCCCCTCTGCCCCGCCCTCTACTTCTCTCAGATAATCACAGCATCTCTCCCTGTCTCACCCCCTTTGCCCCTAACTCTCTCTCTCCCCATCCCTGTCTCTCCTCACCCCTCCATCTCTCCCCTTTCTACTCGGCTCGTTTTGGCTCTTCCTGTGTGACCTTCACTTGTCCTTTCTCAGCTGCAGTCTCCACAGAAACCTCCAGTGGGGCGGGGGGAGGGAGGGACAGAGGTAGACCCACCCTTCTCCCTGCCTGCAGCCCTCCAGCCTCTCCCCCCACCCCAACTGGGATTCCTCACTTCCTCTCCTGGGGCCCGGAGCTACATTTGCAGCAGAAACACAGGGTCACAGTTAGGGACAGTTCAAGATGGCCTCACGCATGTACTCAAATGATCACAAAGTCCACGAGTTGCCCTGACCCAGACACGTTTGCCACCATGGGGGCCACCCCAGGCCCCCGCACAGAACAGCACGCTGGCACTCCCCACCCGCAGCCCCATCTGGTTTCTGTCTTTCTGTGTCTCCGCTTCCGGTGTCTCCGCCTCTCCAGATCCCTGCATCTCTCTCCATCTGTCTCTGGGCCTCTGTCGCAGCCTTTCTCTGTCCTCAGAGAGGAGGAGTGGAGAGTGGCCAGCTACTGGGACCTGGGCTGACCTGCCGGCTGTGGGTAGGGCGGAGAGTGGACAGTGTGGACGTGACCATGGAGGCTGCGCTTCTCAGCAGACACCCTAGGGACCCAAGCCTCCAATGTCCTCACACCCCCAGGAAACAAGAACCGGTTTTCCCAGTTTTGGGGTTTTGTTCTTTTTTTATTCCAACAGGGGCTGAGATGTGGCACGGGAAGGGAAGAGGGCCCAACTGACCCCCTCCCCGGGGGGGATCTCATAGAAATTCCGAGGTTTCTCCCCCAAAAAAAGAGAGAAAGAGAAGAATGTAGGGGCACCAGGAGACACCCATCTGTCCAGAGGCCCTCCCCACCTCCAGAAGCGTGGAGGACTGTGTCAAGTCTTGGGGGGCCTGAGCAGTCCCAGGATGGGGTCCTCTACGCAGACTTCTGTCCGCTTTCGGAAATGGCCCCGTAGTCCCCGGCCCCCCGGAGTCCTGGAGTCCCGGCCCCCCGGAGTCCTCGGTGCCTGCGCTCCTCTTGCCCGCAGCGGGGGGCGGAGGGCGGGCGTCCGCAGCACCCTCTCGCGAGTCCACTAGGGGGCGCAGACAGGCTCCCGAGCCGGGGCTCGGACTTCGAAGGGAACCGAAGGCAAAATCGCGGCGTCCCCGGCGCCGGCGCGCAAGTCCTGTACCCCGCCCGCTGGGGAAGCGGGGGCGGCCGGGGCCCGGGGCGGGCCCTGTCCCTGCGGTCAGTCCGGGCGCCCGCCCGGCCCCGCCCGTGGTCACTCGTGCTCTGCAAGCTCGCGGGGACCGGCAGGGCCGGGCCGCGGCCTCGGCGGGCTGGTGGCCTCGGCGGGGGCGCCCAGGCCACGCGGGGGCGCGCCGGCCCCCGAGGCCCGCAGCGCCTGGATGCGCCGGCACTCCTGGCAGACGCGCACGTGGGTGCAGGGGGTCGGGGCGGCGGGCCGGGCCCCGCCGGGCGGCCCCGGGTCGTCCAGGAGGCGCTGCGGGCCCCCGTGCGCGCCGCCCGCATCCCCGCCCGCGCCGGCCGAGTACAGCTTGCCGTTGCTGAGGCGCATCTCGCGGACGGCGCGCAGCGACAGCAGGGCTCGGCTCGGGCCGCCCGGGCGCCGGCGCCGGCGGGAACGCGACGTCTTGCGGCAAGACACGGCGTGGCGCAGCTCCTGCAGCATCTCCTGGCACACCGACACCTGGGGGCGCGGGGCAGTCACCGTCCGGGCACTCTCCTGGCTCCCCCAGCTCCCCTGGCTCCTGCAGCCTCCTTCCCCTCCCCGCCCCAGCTTCGCTCCACACCCCACTCCTCCTCCTCTCCTCTTCCTTCTCCCTCTGCTCACTTCCCACTCCTCTTCCGCAGTCTTTTCCCTGTGTCTTCTGTCGCCTCCACCTCTCCACTCCTGTCTCTCCCCACTTCTCTCCCACGTCTCCGTTCTCCCTCGGGCTCATTCTGAATCTGCCCGTCACCTCCTACCTAGGCTCCTGTTGCCTCTGGTCCTAGCCAGTTCCCATGCTCCGCCCCTGAGTCATGCAGTCAGTATCGCAAGGCATATTTACCGAGAGCCTACTGTGTGCCAGGCATGGTTCTGGGCACTGGGGATACAGCAGAGTACAAAACACACAGAAGTCCCAGCCCTCGTGGAGGTTATATTCAAGTGTGCAGAGACAGAAAATAACAAATATGTAAATGTGTGTAGTATGTTAGATGGCCGTGAGCACTTTGGACAAAAATAAAATAGGGAAGAGAGGTGGGGAGTGACGCTGAATTTTGAGACAGGACAGTCAAGGAGGACCTCACTGAGAGGAGGACTCTTAAGTAGCGATGGGGGGGGGTCATGTGGCGCCCAGGAGGAGAGTGGCTGGGCAGACACAGCAAGACCAAGGTGCCGGGGTGGGAGCAGCTCTGAGGACGCCCCGGCAGGTCAGGGCAGTTGGAATGAGAGCGAGGGAGGCGATGAGGTCAGAGAAGCAGTGGAGGCCAGCATGGGTGAGGCCTGAAGGCCACGGGAAGGACTTTGGCTTTTATTCTGAGTCAGATGGGAGCCACTGGAGAGTTTTAAGCAGAGGCCTGTTGTGTCTTCATGGAATCACAGTTGACCACAGACTGCAGGGAGGCCAAGGGCAAGAGCAGGGAGGAAGAGCCACAGTAACCGAGGCAGGAGACAGTGGAGGCTAGACCAGAGAGACGTGAGAGGTGGTTGGATTCTGTTTACATTTTGAAGGTGGGGCAGCAGGATTTGCTGGGAGATCAGATATGGAGCATGAAAGAGAAGTAGGGAAGGATAACACCACATACTGTGGCCCGAGCAACTAGCAGGATGGCACTGCCTTGCAGGTGGGCAGGAGCTGGGAGCTGCAAGTTTCGCACATACCTCCGGACAGGCACGTGGGGAGGCCGAGCATGGAGCTGACCTCACAAGCCCCGGCTTCAGGACACAAGCATCTGGGATCAAGGTAGGCATCCTCCAAGATCCCACCCTGACACTAGCAGGGCTGGCCTGTGTGACCAACAGAACACGGCTCGGACACTGCCATTTGGCTTCTGCCTTGCTTTCTTGGGTCTCTTACTCTGGGGGACATCAGCTGCCAGGGTGTGAGGACACTCAAGCAGTCCCACGGAAAGGTCCTTGTCTGAGGAACTGAGGCCTCCCGCCAACTGCGATGTGAGTGTATTCACCATGGTTTTTATTTTCTGTCTTGGGGTATTTTCTTTCTTTCTTTCTTTCTTTTACCTGGTCCCTCCTCCTCCTCCTCCTCTGTCTTGGGATATTTTGACATCTTAAAAGTCTTGCAGACTGGGGACAGACTGCCCCTCCCAGAACTAGCCCATTCTGAGAAATAACAAAAGGCTTGGATGCCTATCCTAGGTAAACCAGCCAATCCTGAGTCTATACCCCCAACCGTCCACCCGTTACCAAACCCGAATCTACCAAATCTTTTAATGTTGGCATTCAGACACTTCTATAACTTAAAATCCCATGGGGACATTTGAGACAGTAAGCAACCCTGGAAGTGGACCCTCCAGCCCTGGTCCAGCCTTCAGACCACAGCAGCCCCCGGCCAACAACATGACTGTGACCTCACCAGGGACTGGGGCAGCCAGAGCCACCCAGCAGCCTATGCCCCCAGGCTCCCCGGCCACAGAACTGACAGCTGCCTGACTGAAGGGACTGTTTTAAGCTGTTAAGGTAACTTGTTACAGTAGCAATAGATGATGAGTACAAGAGTCACCAGCACAGACATGGTCTTAAAAGCCAATTGGCTGCTGGAGTCACCGAGTGGAGAAAGACAGAGTAGAAAGGCTGTCCAAGGACCAAGCCCCAGAGCCCCCAACACGCAGAGACAGGGCAGGAAGAGGAGCCCGATGATGGTGCCTAGGAAGGCAGGCCAGAGAAGGAGGAGGAAAATGAGGCGTGGGTTTTGGGGAGAGAGAGGGATTAGCTGTGCTGAAGCCCACTGCTGCCTCACGTAGACAAGGCCTAAGGCTCGGGCATTGGATTCTAGACGTGGAGGGCACTGGTGACAAGAGTGGCTTCAGTGGAGTAGTGGGGACAGAAGCTGGACTGGAGCAGGCCAAAAGTGAATGGGAGCGAAGAGGCTGGAAGCAGCAGGGAGACACAGCCCTTCCAAGGCCGTGAACGGCAGGGGAAAATCAGGTGGTGGCTGGGAGGAGAGGAGAGGTCAAGAGAGGGTTTCCTTCCGAGGCAGAAATGACAGCACAGCTGCCTGCCTATGGCTGGGCTCCAGTGAAGAGAAGACAGCTGATGATGCGGGAGGAAAGACTTGCTGGAGGGACGTCCTTGGGAAGGTAAGAGAGGAGGCCGCCAGGGGGAGGGCACCTCTGCTGGCAGCACGGAGGCTCCTTCAGAGGAGCCCGGACAAGTGGGGACTGCAGCAGGCGGCTGGACACTGGGCCGGACGCTGAGCCGGCTGGGGAGTAGATAGAAGGACAGCCACAGGAAGTGAGCAGGGGGAGGAGAGGCAGGAGGTTGGCAGAGAGAGGGAATTGGGAACTAGCAGCCTAGGGGCGTGGCAGTAAGAATGCTCTAGAAACGTAGGGGTGTTGCAGCCCCTGGGCACATACAGCGTGAGACCCCAGCCAGCAAGGCTGCGTCCTTTTCCAGTCGCACCAGCGGCTTTCTCATCGCCTGTTTCTCCCCTTGTTTCTCTCATTCCTTCTGGCCTCGCTGCCCCTGTGGCTCCCCATATCCCACTCCCTCGCCTCCCGCACCCCTTCCTGGCTTCCTGTGCCTGCTTCCCTCCTCTCCTGCCTGGACTCTCTGGCCCTGTCTGCTCTCTCGCCTCCGACCCCTCCTCCCCCTTCTCCAGTCCACCACCCTCAGGCTCCCAGTGCCACCAGCTTTTGGGCCCAGCCCGTTTTCGCACTTCCCGCCCACCCCGCCCTTGGCCCACTCCTCACCTCCTCAGACTCCGCTGACCGCCGCGTGGACCATATGAACTCCATGACCGCCACAAAGACAGCGATGATGAGGCCACAGATGAGCACGACAAAAATGCCGCCAATGTTCTCCATGCCCAGACCTGGGTGGGGAGGGGGGAGAGCCACGGGGTCAGGGCTGTGTGGGCGCAGGGACCTCAAGGGAGCCCAGGGAGAGGCGCGCCGCACGCGGGGGCAGCTGACCTTTAGCTCGGTGGTCCTCCTCCTTGGGGCACCGGCCGCCCTCCCACCACTTGCGCTTCAGGATCTCCAGCCGGTTGTTCTCCTGGAGCTGCAGGATGGCCAGCGTGATCTCGTCCCGGAACGGGGAGCCTGCGCCGGGCACACGGCGGGGTGGATTGGCCTTCCTCGGGGACCTGGAGAACTGCCTGCTCCACCCAAGCTACCCCTCACCATGGCCTTCTCTGTCACGTGCCCAGGGTCTTCTCCCCCCACCCAGTCTCGTCTCAGCACAACAGCCAGGGAGACCGTTTTAGGAACAGTCATAAGCATCTCCTGTGCCTAGAGCCCTCCAGTGGCCTCCCGCTGCAGCCGGCACAAGGTCTTCCCTCGGCCTTCGCGACCCTGCACTCATGCCCCGCCACTCTCGGATGCCCCCCACTCAACCCCCCGCTCTCAGCTGCAGCCTCCTGGCTGCCCCCTGAACCCACCAAGCACAATCCCACCATAGGACCCTTGTCTCTGCCTGGAATGTTTCTGATCTCACTCCATTCAGGTCTCTGCCCACAGGCTGGCTCCTCGAGGGTCTTCTCTGACTCTTTAAAATGGCACCAATCACCCCATTCCCATCAGTTTCTTCCCCTTAATTTACTTCAGAGCAGTTGTCACTGCCTGACATCAAGTTATATAGCTACATGTTTATGATCTGCTTGTCGTCTGCCACCCCTGGCAGAAATCAGAAGGGTGGGGACTTGGTGGCTGCCCCACCCTGGAATCCTGGCAGCCAGTGAGGGGGCTGCACGTAGCAGGGTGCCAGACAGGCCCACCACGTGTGAATCCCCATGCACCGTCTCCTCTGGGCCACCTCTCTCCTCCCCACCCTCGGACCATCCTAGACCCCCACACCCCTCACACCCTATTCTGTACTCACTTCTTCAGTCACTAAGGTACTTCTTAAGCATCTACCACATGCCAGGAACTAGGGATATGGCAAGTGGACATGATTAATATTCATAATCTTATCACCCCTACTGTGTGCCGGACCCTGAGCTTATTCAGTCTCCCAGTGATCCTGGGAGGCAGTTATTACCATCTGAGATAAGCACTTCTGAGTGAGGAACGTGATACTCTTAGGTAAGGTCGCACACTGAGTTAGGGAGGGACTGGAATTTGGATCCAGGTTAGTGTGACTCCAGAGCCTGTCCCCAAAGCGCCAGGCTACACTGCTTCCCTGGCACAGCCCTCACTCCTACAAGGCTGCTAAGATTTTCTGTGCAGTAATACATAACTAATACAGGCATCACCAGCATATTGATGATTTTAAAAGCCAAAATGCCAAAATTTGGTGATAAATCCATAGTGGGTTTCCACACTGAGCCCTAGGAAAGTATGTACTGAAGGGGAAATAGGCACACCCAAGTCTCCCTAGCAGATCCTTCTAGCCAGCCATCCATCCAACAAGCATGTTCTCAGCACCTGCTCTGAGCCAGGCTGAGGGTTTGGTGCAGAGAATATGACACAAATATAACCAGCTCCTCACCCTCGAGGGGCCCTCTGGCCAGTGGGGGGAAGGCGGCCACTTCATGGCCCACATGTTCTGAATTGCCCACAGAGTGTCACTGGATTCTCCCAGTGTCCCTGCAGGGTTAGAACTCATTGTTCCTAGGCCCAGCTTTGCAGGTTGATGGAGCAGAGGTTCAGGATGGTGGTGTCACCTGCCCAAGGCCATACAGCCAGGAAGCCACAACAAAACACACCCAGCCTGCCTCAGGGAGGGCCTGTCCTGGCCCTAGGCCTGCTCACACATTTTGGTTTGGGGGTGTCCAGGGCCCTGCCATATGCTATACCCAGCGGCATGCCGATGCCATAGCCCTTGGTGTCGAGGAGGCCCCCGATCTGCGTGAGGTTGCAGTTGAGGCGCCGGTGGTACTCATTCATGGTGGACTCAAGCAGAAAGGCGTAGCGGGAGTTGAGGACGCGGGCAATGCCCTCTTCCGTGCTCTTGACAAACACACTGGGCTGCTTTGACTGCATGTAGTTCCACATGCGCTGGTATGTCTGGTACCGAGAATTCTGGGCACAGGGAACACAAGGAAAAGGTGAGGCCTTTCCATCCCCTGCCTTTCCCCGAGCCCTGTCCCCTATCCTCCAGGAAGTCCCTCAATCCGAGAGAGAGCGAGGAGATGAGAGGAACACAGAAAGAGCTAAAGACAGAGGAAGAGACAGAACAGACAAACTGGCCATGGCCAGGTCCAAGTCATCCCCACAGCCACCAGTCCGGCGAGGAAGCCACTATCTTTCCTAGAGGTCCCACAGCCCTGCCCAGATCTGCTCCTCTAGTTTCTCACCTGGGTGATACCCACCACCCACCTGGGAGCCCTTGGAGTTTCCTTCCCCGCAATCCTTAACCCTTCAGCCAGTGGGCCCTGCCCGTCTCTGGCTGTCTACCTACTGTCCTGCCCAGTGGCCATGCACCCCATTGGTGGTCCCCCCACAAGTGACCCCTGCATCCAGAAGGCTCCACGACTGCTGACTAGTGGAGAGGTTAGGAGTGTGGACTCTGGAGTTGGACTCCCTGGGTTTAAATGTTGCATCTAGAGTCTTCCACTTCCAGGTATAAGAGAGAAAGACAGTCTGGAAATACCCACCTACTGCAAGCAGCTAGAAAATTGGACAGAATATAGGAAACTATTTAAAGACATACAACAAGTATGTCTACCCACAACCCGGCCACGGAGGGAACTTCCAGCTCTAAATGCTCCCCATATACGGGGTCCAGTCTAAGTGTCCCGTCCTGGCAGGTGAGGCCTCTGCCTCCTGAACCTCCTCACCGGGTTTGCTTTCCTTTCATTTCCTTCCCACCACCCCAAAAAACACAGAATCAAGCTCCTTTCACCTTAAAGAACCTTCCCTTCTATCTGCTGCCCATTTTCCTGGGCCTGACCCTTCCAGCAGTCTCTTTGACCCCCCCGTGACCTGGATGGCTCTGATTTGACATTAGATCCCATATCTACCTCTTTGTCCCCGTTCCCTGGTAGAAGTCCAGTTCCCTTGCAAGTGTGTTTTCTGCTCCTCAGCCTGCCAGACTGTCATCGATAGTCCCCTGGACCCAGGAGGCCCTGCCCAGCCCCACCCTGAGCTGTTGGGCGTAGCAGGGATCTCAACACCAAGCCTGGGAGGTTCTGGGTGGCCCACCTGGAAGAAGGTCATGGTGGAGCCGGCGTGGATGGTGCCGTACTCAATGTTGGTCTGATCTGCCAGGTCATCGGCCGACTCCACGGGCACCTCCATGCGCTGCACGGTGAGGAAGGCGGCCAGGTTGGCCGTGTAGGAGGAGATGATGATCAAGGTGAAGGCCCACCTAAGGAGTGGGAGGGGTGAGCTGCAGGCTGGAGCCACCCCTGCTGTCCTGCCCAGTGCCCATGCACCCCATTGGTGGTCCCCCTACAAGTGACCCTTGGCATCCAGAAGGCTCCACGACTGCTGACTAGTGGAGAGGTCAGGAGTGTGGACTCTGGAGCCGGACTCCCTGGGTTTAAATGTTGCATCTGGAGTCTTCCACTTCCAGGTATAAGAGAGAAAGACGGTCTGGAAATACCTACCTACTGCAAGCAGCTAGAAAATTGGACAGAATACAGGAAACTATTTAAAGACATAGGACAACAGGTATCACAGGACCGTGATCCCAGAGAAGAGAAACAAAGTGAGTCTTATCATTGTCCTGGCCGTCTGGCTGGATTTAATTTACAGACTGAGGCACCAGGAAGGGAATCCCAGACAGCCCAGCAATCCTGCAGAGTTGCAGATAGAAAGCAGAGATCAGGGAGGCCCAGATGGCTGGAATTTGTGGGGAAGAGTGCCTGAGAGGAGGGGCTGCACAGGGAGAAGGTTCAGAAATCTGGGTGCCCTGGAGTCTTTGGCTGAATATCAATCTGTACATGCAGGGGGTGAAACTCCATGGGGCCGGACAAGAAAAACTTTCAAGAAGAGAACAATTCTTAGGTTCACACATGGCTGGGAATCTTTTGAGCTCTCTCCAGCCAAAGTAGAGAGATCTCACTGAATACATGAGACTTTAAGTAGAGGCCTAAAAGTGCAATATGTTAGAAATAGGGTTAAGTTAGCCCTAGAATAAAGGAAATGCTAGATCTGCTCTAGAAGAGCTTAAAAACAGGCCTGGAAGGATCAGAATAATTCACAAGTAACTAACGGCCTGACTAAAAAAGTCTAAGACTCTTTAAAGAAACACATTCAACAATGTAAATAATAAAAAATTCACAATGTCTATCATCTAATAAAAAGAATGACCAGATATGCAAAAGATAGAGCATAATGTGACCCAGACCGACCAAGACAAAAATCACTCAATTGAAACAAACTCAGAATTGATGGAGATGATGGCACTAGCAGACAAGGACATTAAAACAGCTATTGTAAATATATTCAGAAGGCTCAAGGATATAAAGAAAAACATGAGCATAATGAGAGAAATGGAAGATATAAAAAAGAAGTAAATGGAACTTCTAGAGAATGACATACAAACATCTGAAAGGAAAATTTTACTGGAAGGGCTTATGCAGATTAGACCCTGTAGCAGAAAAGATCAGGGAATTCTTTTTTTTTTTTTTTTGAGACTAGATCCTGCTCTGTCACCCAGTCTATAGCATAGTGGCATCATCACAGCTTACTGTACCCTCAAACTCCTGGGCTCAAATGATCCTCCTGCCTCAGCCTCCTTAGTGGCAGGAACTACAGATGTGTGCCACCACACTTGGCTAATTTTTCTATTTTTTGTAGAGATGGGGTCTCACTCTTGCTCAGGCTGGTCTCAAACTCCTGGCCTAAAATGATCCTCTTGTCTTGGCCTCCCAAAGTGCTAGCATTACAGGCGTGAGCCACTGTGCCCAGCCTAGGATCAGGGAATTTGAAGACAGCAATGGAACATACCTAAAACAAAGCACAGAGAGGGAAAAAATGACTGAAAATTAGCAAAGACCCTCAGTGACCTGAGGAATAGTATCAAATGGCCTCATATATGTGACTGGAGTCTCACAAAGAGAGGAAAGAAAAGGGTAACAAAATATCTGAACAAGTAATAGCAAAAAATTTTTCAAATTTGATGAAAACTGTAAACTTGCAGATCCCAGACACTTGATAAGCCCCAAGAAAGATAAACACATATTCATAAACACACTAAGGCATATTATAATCCTTTGCTGAAAACCAGTGATAAAGAGAAAAATCTTAAAAGCAGCTAGAAGGGGGAAAAATTTATGATATAGAGAGAAGCAAAGATAACAGTGACAGGAGACTTCTGGATTGCCTATATTAATATCAAATAAAGTTAACTTCAGAATAAGAGAGTGTACAAGCCCAAGGACAAGCACAAAAGAAAAATAAAAACAAAACTGTCAACCTAGAATTCCATATCCAGCAAAAATATCCATCAAAGAAGACACACTGACACATCTTTCATACAAATAAAGCTGGAAGAATTAACTGCCAAAAGACCTGCACTTTGAGAAATGCTAAACGAAGTTCTTCATGTAAAAGGAAAATAATACTAGATGGACATGGGGATGTACAAGAAGGAATGAAAAACACCAGAAAGGGTAGGTATATGGGTGAATATAAAAGACACATTCCTCATTTAAAAATGTCACTATATTTACCTGTTTAAAGCAAACACACACAAAAGTCTCATATATTGTGGGGTTCATAAGATATATAGAAGTAATATGTATAATAATAGCTCAAAAGAAGGGAGAGTGAAATGAACATATACTATTTTCAGGGTCTTATATCTTATGTGAAGTGGTATTAATGTAATGTTACTTGAAAGTATTTTGTAATAAAGATGTATATTGTAAGCCAAGAGCAACAACTAAGAAAAATAAAGAAATATAGTTATAAAGTCAATTGTAGAGATAAACAGAATCCTAAAAATGCCAATAAACCCAAAAGGTGGTAGGAAAAGAGGGAAAGAGGAAGAAAGAACAGCTGGGACAAATAGCAGGATGGTAAACTAAAGCCCAACCACATCAATAATTACATTAAAGATAAATAGTCTATACTTGGGTTGCCAAACTATGGTTCACAAGCCAAATCCAGCCTGCCGTCTATTTTTGTACAGCCTACAGGCTAAGAATGGTTTTGACATTTTTAAATGGTTACAAAGACATCAAAAGAAGAGTATTTCATGACACATGGCTTATATAAACTTCAAATTTCAATGTTAGTATCTATAAATAAAGTTTTATGGGAACATAGCTATACTAATTCATTTACATATTATACCTACAGCTGCTTTCATACTACAATGGCAGAGTTGATTAGTTGGCACAAAGACCATATGGCCATCAAAGTAAAAAATATTTACTATGAATTTTGGGGGGACATTAAAAAATATTTACTTAGAAGAGAAGAATTATAATGTTCCCAACACAAAGAAAAGATACATGTTTGAGGTGATGGATATTCCAATTACCCTGATCATTACCCATTGTGTACAGGTATCAAAATATCACATGTATCCCCCAAATATGTACAACTATTATATACCAATAAAACATTTTAAAAATATTTACTATCTGGCACAGTAGAGAAAAAGTTGCCAACCCCTGCTTCAAGGACTAAGTATATGCTGTTTGTAAGAAACAAAATGTAAAAACACTTAAGTATCAGAAAGCTGGATTGCCTATATTAATATCAAATAAAGTTAACTTCAGAACAAGAAATGTTACCAAGAATGAGAGACATTATATGTCAATTCATCAAGAGGACATTAACAATTCTAAACATTTATGCACCTAATTACAGAGCTTCAAAATTCATGAAGCAAAAACTGATAGAACTGAAAGAGAAATAGACATAATTTCTCCACAATTACAGGCTGAGATTTCAAAACTCCCTCTCAATAATTGATAGGACAAGCAGACAGAAAATCAGTAAGGATACAGAAGACTTGAGTAACACTATCAACCTATTGGCTCTAATTGACACTTTAGAACACTGCACCCACCAACAGCTGAATATATATTCAATGCAAGTACACACAGAACATTTACCAGGACAGACCATATGCTGAGCCATAAAGCAAGTCTCAGTAAATTTAAAAGGATTAAAGTCCTACAGAGAATGTTCTCTGACCACAATGAAACTAAGTTAGAAATCAATAATAGAAAGCTCTCTGGGAAAGCCCCCAATCCTGGCTCCATCACCGCCTAGCTGTGTGACCTTGGACTTGTACTCCAATTTCCTCACCTGTCAAGTAAGTACAATTGTAGGCCCTTCCTCACAGGGTTTGTAATGAGTAAGTGAGTTAATCTGGCACACAGTAGGTGTTATGGAAGTGTTCACTCTCATCGTGTTGGTGACACGAGACTGACCGGAGAGAAGAGGCACCTACCGGTCTGGCTGTGGGACCCCAGGGCAGCCACCTGCCTTATCCTGGCTCTCTCTGTCCTCCCTCTGGGCAAGTAAGAGTGGACAGGCTCCCTGCAGACCATACAGATCTGTGGGGCCTGAAGACAGAGGAGATGCTGGGAGGGCCTCCCAGAAACCCCACATCTATATCCCCAGCAGATGATAAAACAGTAGCTGTCTTGCGCTGATCACACGTGAGAAGCATTGTGCTAGGCACTGGGGTGGGGGTGTACGGGGGGGGGAGCTTGATAGAGGGCTGAATGATGCAGCCTCCTGCAAAATAAAAATCAAAACTCCAACAGCGTCTGACACACCCTGTCTAGAAAGCAAGTCTCTCCAAATCCGCCCCATGGATTAATGTTGTCATTCACTCAAAATAAAATTATTCAGTGCCTGGTACGTCCTGGACAACCCGCTAACCCCAGAGGATACTGTGTGGGTGATTGGTGTTGGTGATGGGGCCACTCCCTGAGAACAGTGGAAACACAGATGGGGAGTCAGATTTGGGAGTAAAGACGTGAGCTCTATTTTGGACAAGGTGAGTTTGGGGATGCCTGTCAGGCTGGGTACATGGAGAGGTCTAGAGATGAGGACTTTGAAAGTGTCAGCCTAAGAGTGGGTGAGACGGCCCAGATGGAGAGTGCAGAGCAGTGGTCTCCCGCGGGAGGTGTTTGGTAAGGTACGTTGGTGGTCAGAGTGGCTTCAGTGCATGGGGCAGGTGTCCAACACCGTGAGACCCAGTCTGAACAACAGTGAAAATCCAGTACATGCTTATCTGAGCCTAACTCCTTGGTTCATAAAAACCTAAGTATTTTTTGCATGATCGTGATATAAACTGAAATCTCCAGAAATGCACCTCTTGTTTACATCGAGGAACCACTGGATGCTGTTTCGTTTGGAACTTGGCTCTGAGAACTGTTCACCATTTTGGGAAGTCACATCTCTGACAGCAGCTCCACTCATATTTGAGTCACCCAGTCAAGACACCTGCCCCAGCTGCAGTAGTAAATTGTCTCGTTCATGGTGACTCGTGTCTGCGCAAACACACTCATTTGCTAACTATTTCGAAGTGTCACGTATCAAGTGTTGACAAAATTCTGTTAAGTGATCTACTTTCTCATCATTTCAAGCTTATCTAGGTGCCACCTGACTGTCACATTCTGTCTTCTGCGTAGCCACGCCCAAGCATTTATGTATTGCCATCATATTATTTTATTAGCGATTGCTTCCCGTCTTTGTCTACTTCGTATTACAATTGGGGACTGATATTGATTTTTTTAAAAACTATGTGTGTAGGTAGATATTTTACCCTTGAATTTCAGCTTGGGGTGGGAAAGGAGATATTAAAAAATATTTATTACAACAAGAGAGCACTGGGTCTGTGAACACTGAAAACCCGCTGGTGCGGGTGAGAAGCACCACACGAGGGTGGCGAGGGCAGAGCGAACCCACAGATAAAGCAGGGACAGAGTGGTAGGAGGAAACCAGAAGGACGCAGAGCCTAGAAGCAAGGAGAGCGTTTCTAGAAGAAGAGTGGTGACAGGGCCAACGCTACCTGCAGATAAGACAGAGATTGGACATATGGATGGCAGGGTCACATGTGAGCTGGGGTAGAGCTGGGGTTGCGGGGAGGGAGTGAAGCCAAGCTGCTGGCTAGATCCGAGGTTTTGGGGTTTTCTTGCCGGGAGGGCGTGAGGAAAACATGACCTGGGGAAGGGTCGAGGACAACGGCTGAAGGGATGGCCTGGGAACCACCTGGAGATGGATGACGTGAAAGCAGGCAGGGCTCAGAGGAGAAGAGGGAGGTCAGAGGACTCACTGCATCAAGTGACCAAAGGAGAGTCGGGAGGGACAGGGCCTGTGGTCAGAGCGAAACCTTGGAAATGATGACATCTGAGGCAGAGCTGTCCCAGATAACGACAAGCCCTGGGGTGTGGCCGCGGCAGGCTCTGGCTGACTGGACTCGGCGATGAGGCAGGTTCCGGCCAGACTGCTGCACCAGCCAAGCCCCCCAGACCCACCCCCAACTGGAACGTGAGTCCCACCAGGGCGGGGACCTGGCCTGCTGAATCATCGTGCTGGGTCACATCTAGAGACGAACAAACATCTGCGGAGTGAGCGCATGTGTGGGAGGACGTGGGGTACAGAAGAGAGTGAGCCCCAGGGTCAAAGGCTCCAGTGAGGGAGGGGACGTGAGTGGGGCCTTCCCAGGTGACAGCTGGCTGGAGAGCATGATCCTCACTCAGGAAGAGCCCCTGACTGGGGAGCAGAAAGGATGGCCAACAGAGAGGAGGCCACGGGAGCCCCCACCCCTGCCGTGGGGACTCAGCCAGATTTGTCACGGCTGGTCTCCTCAGTGGCCTCTGAGCCCCCTCCTCACACATCTGGCTCTCTCCTGCCTGTCTGGAATGCTCCTCCCTCTCCTTGACATGGGCAACTCCATTTTTGCCTTTAGGACTCAGCCCAGAATCACCTCGTCGGGGAGCCTTCTTTGATCACCCCATTCTCTACTGCTCTTTGTCATCGGTTTGGTTCCTCAGTAGCACATTATATGTTCATCTGCTATATCATTATATTGACAATTTTTTTTTGTTTTAAAGACAGACTCTCGCTCTGTCACTCAGGCTGGAGTGCAGTGGCATCATAGCTCACCATAACCTTGAACTCCTGGGCTCAAACACTCCTCCTGCCTCAGCGTCCTGAGTAGCTGGGACTATAGGAATGTGCCACCATGCCCAGCTAATTAAAAAAAAATTTTTTTTTAGAAAATGAGGTCTTGCTACGCTGCCCAGGCTGGTCTCGAACTCCAGGCCTCAAGTGATCCTCCCACCTCAGCTCCCAAAGTGCCAGGATGACAGATGTGAGCCACTGCACCTGGCCTTATAGTGACATTATGAACACATCTCACCTGGGGTGTGTGGTAGGCAGAATGAGCCCCCTCCCACAACCACCACCAAAGATGTCTCCATTCTAATCCCTACGATATGAATATGTGACCTTACGTGGTAAAAGGGACTTTGTAGGTGTGATAAAGTTAAGGATCTTAAGATGGGGAGAGTACCTGAGAGATCTGAAGCTGTTCCACTGCTGGCTTTAAGCCAGTGGACCAAGTGGATCGCAAACAATTGCCATAGGTCAGTTAGTGCTGCTTAGCTGGGAGAGGGAAAAACCTGCTGCCCATCAAGGTTAGTCTTTTGACCTGATCAAGTTCCAAATGAGACAGTATCTTTGGGACGTACTCTTTGAATAAGATATGGTGCCCAGTGTCTATTTTTCTGTTTACTTGTGTATTCTTGGCTCCTCTGCCCCTCCAGGGCAGAGACGGGGCTGATTCTTCACCTGAGCGCCTGGTACCTGGAAGGGCTCAAGGCCATCTGTGGGATGACTGTGGACGCGGGAACACTGACAGGAGCTGGGCTAGGTCCAGGCAGTGCCAAGGGGCAGAGAGCCGGGTTCTGGCCTGGCGCTGCCCCCAGCAGCCACTCCCTCTCCCTGGGTCTCAGTCTCCTCATCCATAAAAGAGGGAGAATATTCCCTGATCTACGCATTCTCATGAGGAAAATGAGGAGAGAAGAGTTATAGGAACTGCAACCAAGCCCAGCTGCTATTTAAAAGACCAGGGTCGCAAATGCAGGTGCTTAAGGAGGCCAGGCCACCAGATGGCTGAAGCAGGCAGCGGGGACAGGGACAAAGGCAGATGGGAGCAGACCTTGACACCTGGCAGGAATGCCAGCCGAGCACTGCCAGATCTCCCAGATTATCAAGGAGAGCATGGAATCTGGATTTGTGAGAGCACATTTGCCCAAAGTGTTGGTATCTAATTCCTAATTTTTTAAAAAACCATGGGCAACTTGTTGTGTCTGCTCTCTGATGCACAGTTTCTTGGGGCTTGTGTCAGGGGCAAAGAAGTTCTGCCCAAGACACTAGACCCCTGTGGGGCTTCGAGGGAGCATCTGGACACAAGGCTGTCCCGGCGGAGACAACCAGGGCAATGTCTGAGACAGTGACAGCAACACCAATCCTGTTACGGCCATCCCTCTGGTACCAGCACGAGGCTGTCCAACTCACAGAGCAATTTCTGTAACAGCCTCACCAAATCCATACAGCCCTGAGACGTGGGCATCTTTAAGGAGTTCGAGGCATTGACGGGGGCTCTGGCCCAGCCCAGGTCACACAGTGGTGGAGGTGGGGCTCAGCCCTCCCCACCCTATGCTCTGTCACCCAGCCCCTGGTGGGGAACGGGGAATCCACCCAGGAGACTGCGGCGGCCCCCCAACCCTGTCCAGCCTCACATCGGCCCCTCCCCAGCCCGCAGGGGCAGACAGAAAGCTCCTCACCAGACTCCGCTGACACAGCGCGTGGACAGCGCCCGGGGCATGATCTCCGAGCCCTGCTGCATGAAGCCCCCCACGGGAAACCAGAGGCTGTTGCCCAGCGTGTACTGGTTCTCCAGGATGTGGGGGCGCGCCCGCAGGCAGGGGTGCGGGTTATACCACTCATAGGGACTCAGCCTGTGGAGAGACAGGGGCAGGTGGAAGGGGCCGAGGTGAGGAGAAGAGGAGAGAAGCAGAGGAAGGAGATAGGGTGCCTGTGATCACAAGAGAAGGAGGAGAGGTGGGAAAAGGAGACAGACACAGATACACACAGAAAATAAGCAGAAAGAGAAACAGAGAGAGACACGCACAGAGATAGAGACACAAAAGATACAGAAAGACACACACACAGAAGACAGTGGAAGCAAAAAAGGAGACAGAAAGAACAGGAAGGGGAGAGCCCGAGACGCAGAGCCACAAAGGGAAAGACTGAGACCCAGACACGGCAAAAGACAGAGAAAGGGGGGTACAGGGGATCCAAGCCCCCAAAGTGGAGGCTGAGGGTGGTCCGCACAGGAGACAGAATGTGCAGGTTGGCCACAGGGGCCCCGGCTCCTCCCGGCCCTCCTCCCCAAGCAGCAGGCAGTGGACTCACCTGGCGGCCAAAAATAGGACGCAGCTGACAGCCAGGTAGGCGAGAAGCATAAAGAGCCACACAGCAGGGGAGAAGGGGTCCAGGAAGGAGAAGTAGCCAGGCTTGCGGCCCTGCAGGGAGAGGGAGTGACACCCAGAGCCACCCCAGATCCAAGCCACGTGCCCAGGCCCTGCTGCCGCCGGAGACCCAGGAGCCAAGGGCCTAGCTGAGGTCCAGTGGGCATCAGCCTCCTCCTTCAGCCCCCGGCCCCTGTCTCTGCCAGGAAACAGCACAGTCTCCAGGGGAACATACCATGTGCACCCGGTAGAGGATGCTGATCCCCAGGGTCATGAAGGGTTTGGAAAAGTCGATGACCTTCTCCCGCTCCGCTGTGATGGTGAACGCGGCCACAGCCAGGTCTGCCTTCTGCTGGAGGGAAGCGGAGTGGGACAGAGGGGGCAGAGGAGAGGACAGACACGGGCAGTTAGAGAGAAATGCCCTGAGCACCAGCGACTGACAGCGAGAGAGGAAGAGAGAGGTAGACAACAGAGGGGGCCAGGAGCCCACCTTGGCCTGAAATCGGACCCTCATCACCTCATGGCCACTGTTAAGAGTCTCCTCTGGCCTCTTCGTACCCAGCCCCCCATGCCCTCCTGCCCCCTCCCCTGTGGAGTCCTCCCGAAGGCCTGCTTTGCAAAACCCCGCCACCCTCCCCACCCCCCTGGGCGTCGGGCAGACAGCTTGGGACAAGAGTCTGGACACCTAGACACCGACCCACCCCACAACCCTCTTTGGTCCTTGGTTTCACTCTTCTGTCTTAATGGCAAATAGGTAACATTTATTAAGCATTTCCTGTGTGCCAGGCTCCACGCTAGATAGCACTTTACATAGATTCCCTTCTGTACTCCTCCCAACAGCTCCTGCGGGCCACCACCAGCCCCATTTGACAGATGGGGAAACTAAGTCTCAGAGAGGCAAAGCACTGGTGAGTAAAGGCAGGTCAGCAAGGCTGTGTGCTGATGTCCCTAAAATCCCTGATCCAAAAGGACCATCTCACTCTGGCCCAAGGGGATATTAGCCAGCCTTTAGCTGAGGGCTGGGCACAAGGTGGGAAAACACCTGGCGTTTCACACACCCTCCTGCGCGCGCGCGCGAGCGCGCGCGCACACACACACACACACACACACACACACACACACACACACACATGCACGTGTGATCCTGTGTCCTCCCATCTGCGACACCGCTGATGGATCCAACACACCACGCACGCACACGTGCCAAGACTCATGCTGACCCAGTGACGCGGCTAACGCAGGATGACAGCACAGACACACGGGGGCATTCCCCAGAGGCACACAGCACACACCAGCACACACACGTGGCACTCACACGCACACATACATGACAGCACAGGTGGGGCAGGGCGCCCCAGCGTGTTGGGTGACCTTGGACAGGAGCTTTCGCATCTCTGGGCCTCAGCTGGATCATCTGAAAACGAGGGGGTTGGGCCCAAAGTCGCCCACAGCTCTTTGCGTCCTGAGTGGGGGCCTGGCTCCCAGGATGTCACCTCCCGGGCACACAGACTCCATCCCTCAGGCCTCAGCTGGGCCCCAGCACCAGGCCCTGGAGGTGGAAGGGCCCCCAAACCCCAGTTCAAGCAGAGACTTCCCTGTGGGGCTGTAATAAGAGAGCTGAGGCTGAGAGCACATGAGGTAACACAGGCACAGGCAGAAGGCAGGGCAGGGAGAGAGCACACAGGCCCCAGAAATGACCTGGGACGGAGAGACACAGCACAGGTAAATGACTAACGCAGGGTGCATGAGAGATGGCACTAGCCCCTGCTTACGAGCAGAGAGAGAGGGCACAGCCCCAAAGCATGACCCAGAGTTGACAATGTGTGGCTGGGGCCTAAACGTGACTGGATGCTGAGAATATCTTTGGGAATCGCTGGGTGTGAGAGTAAGGAGTTTTAATTCCCCTTCTTGCACACTTGCCACTTTTATGACTGATATGTGAGTTGCCGTGGAACAATCACAGCTAATGCGGGACCCCTGTGACTTCATGCACCCACGGAGGTCTACCCTGGCAAGGCCCTCCACAGTGGCCAAGTCCCTGTTTCTACAAGAAGGAAGCAGTGGCCTTTCAGATGGGCTCAGGGGGCCCCTGGCGGTCCCTGGGCAAGCTGCTCAGGACCCCACTGTCTCCTGGAGGCCTGCAGGGCCCCCTGCCCCTCTCTGCAGCTTCCCCTACTGACTCAGTAGTCCCCTCACCCACACCTGGGGCTGAGCCTCTGCCCAGACACCTGGGCCAGGCCCTGCTTCCTGCTTCCCCAGTAGCCGGGACAGCAGCTCTGTTCCTGAACCACGCCTTGGGTCTGTCCCTTTCTCCCCACCCTACCACCTGGCCCCAGGCCACCAACATCTCTCTCCGGACAACCTCATTTGTCTCCTTACTGGCCCCCGCCACCACTCATAACCCCCAATCCATTCCGCACATATAAGCCAAAGGGACAGCTCCCTGTTTAAAACCCATCATGGCTGCCCACAGCACCTGAGACAAACCTTTTCACAGCCAGGAGGCCCTGGTGAAAGAAAGACCACCTGTCTCATTGGCCTCCCCTTGTGCTCTTCCCCCATCTCTCTGCTCTAGCCACGGTGGTCTGTTTCTTGCTCTTCAGCACAGCGGGCTCACACCCCACCTCAGGACCTTTGCACGTGCTCTTTCCCCAGCTCTCTCACCATTCCAGGCCTTGATCATATCTCCCCCTTCAGACCTCCCCAAAGCAGCCTCCAGATGCCACCTCACTCCCACCCATGGTCCTCTCTCTCACATTCCTCCTTACCCTGTTTGATATCCTTCTTAGCACGACTGGAGGCGACCTTGCTTATTTGTGCAGTAACGGCTGTCTTCCCGACTGTGTCACAAGCACCTGGCCTGTCTGGTTCAGTGGGCACCCCAGAGCCTACCCAGAGTAGGTTCCCAACAAATACTGCTCAGGTTGACCAAGTCCAGGCTCTCTGAATGGCATCCAAGACTGCCGACGGCTTCCCCACCGAGCTCCTGGGCCACTTGCCACCCCTTTCTTTCTCATGCCAGCTTCTTTCTGGCCACCGACCTTTGAGCGCGCCACTTCCTTTGCCCGAAGCACTCCCAGTGCCCTGCAGAGCTGGAGCCCGCCCATCCCTCCAGCACTCCCTGGTGCCTTCCCTCCTCCGGGACACCTTCCACGGACCCCTCCCGTCCTGGACACCACTTGATTTCAACACATAGCTCAACTGGGAAAACATCTGTTGGTTCCTCAAAGGCAGGGCCAGCTGGACACGTCCAGTGTCTCTGGCACTGCTCAGGGGCCGGCTCAGAGCGGGGTCTGCTGCATCTCACATCCCGTCCTCTGCCGAAAGCCCGGGAATGTCACCACTTCCTCTGGGGCCCTCCCAGATGCTCCCAGATGCAGAGAGCTCTTCTCCGGCCCTGCAGTGGAACCTCACACAAGTCAGACATTCCCCCGCATACAACTCGTACCAGCGTGGCCACTGTTCCAGGGTTTTCCCCAGAGCAACTTCACGTGCAGGGTCCCATTCCCACCATTCTGCACGCAAAGAAATGGAGGCACAGACAGTAAGTACCTTGCTCTAGCTGACCCCGGGATTCAGAATTGCTTGGCTTTATCTGCCTACTGCCTCTGTCTCCCTACAGCACGGGGCACCCGGAGTCAGGTCTAGGTGTGTGATTCCTCTCCGGGTCCCAGGGATTTAGGAAATGAGCACTGACTGACCAGCGGAGTGAGCCAGTCCTTGAACTTCTGATGAGCATGCGGCAGGCTCAGCCTTGCCCTCCACCCTCCCAGTTTCTCCAACACCATCCCAGGCAGAAGCCTGGGGTCCTGCCCATGCCCCTGTCCCTCACCCCTCACTGCATCCATCCCCTGGCCCCTCCATTCTGCCCCCAAACACCTCCTCTCTGCCTCCACTGCCCCTGCCCAGGTCACCCTACTGGCTGGAAAGGAGTCTCTGGCTCCCAGGCCACTGAGTCAGCAGCCCAAGGGATCCTAATGCACTACAGTCTGGTCACACCACTCCCCTGCTTAAATTCTGCAATGATTCTCCTTGTTCTTTTTTTGAGACAGAGTCTCACTCTGTTGCCCGGGCTAGAGTGCCGTGGCATCAGCCTAGCTCACAGCAACTTCAAACTCCTGGGCTCAAGCAATCCTTCTGCCTCAGCCTTCCAAGTAGCTGGGATTACAGGCATGGGCCACCATGCCTAGCTAATTATTTCTACATGTTTTTAGTTGGCCAATTAATTTCTTTCTATTTTTAGTAGAGACAGGGTATCGCTCTTGCTCAGGCTGGTTTTGAACTCCTAACCTTGAGCAATCCTCCCTCCTTGGCCTCCCAGAGTGCTAGGCTACTGCGCCCAGCCTGATTCTCCTTGTTCTTAAACGGTCATCCAAACTCCTCACCTGGCCCCATGAAGTCCTGTCCCATCTGACTCCAACAACCTCACCTGTCCCCCCCCCCACAGCCCCCCATCTTGCCCTCTATCCCCACGTGGCAGACACTCTGCCCTTTCCATTTGTTCATTCATTCATTTATTCACCTGCTTGACAAATATTTGCCAAGTACCCTCCACTGGCCAAGCACCAGTCTAGCTCTGGGAACAAAGTAATGAATAAAACATACGATGTCAGGTGGTGACAAGGGCTATAATGACAAATAAAGCAGGCAACAAGATGGAGACTGGTGGAGGACGCTGCCTGGGATATACTCCCCGCTGTGGGAGCTCTTATTTGAGTACCAACATGAAGGAAGTATGGGCCGAGGCAGGAGAAGAGCTGGGGCAAAGCTTCCAGGCTGAGGGACCAGCAGGTCCAGCCCCTGAGGAGAGAAGTGGCTTGCAGTGTCCAGGAGGCTGGAGCAGAATGGGAAGGGCAGGAAATGCCCCAGGGCAGGGACCAGAGCCCTGTGGGGACCAGAAGCAATGAAAGACATAGCAGTTGAGAGTACAAGCAGGGTGGTGACATGACTTGGCCGCCATGGCCACGTGAGAACAGACCACGTGGACATGGGGACCAGCAAGCCTAATGAAGATGCCTGTGGAGACGCTGGAGGCAGGAACGAGTGGCGGCTGTGGCAGTGGGGAGAGGTGGACAGATCCGGCTCTCATTCTGAAGACAGAAGCCTTAAACACTGCAAGCCTTCTAGGCTCCTCTTAGAGACTTTATTTTTATTTATTTTTTCCTTTAAATTATTATAAATTTTAAGTTTTAATTTTTCTGAGTCTGGGTGATTTGGGACCTCAGAGCCTTTAGAATCCCTCCCCACCTCCTTACCCTTCATTTTGCAGAAAAATTACCTATTTCTTAGAGAAGTCTTCCCCACCCTGACATACACAGCCCACTCCCGCCCCCAGGGGACCCTGACAGT